CTGCGCGCTCAGCTGGGAAGCGGGCGCCCTGGGACCCGGTCCAGCCTAGCTGCAGACCTCCAGGGCCTCCAGTCGCGAACCCCGGTCCCAACACCCTCAGCCGCAGGCAGCATCGCCCCTGCGAAGCGACTCGGGGAACCGCGGAAAAATGCACTCTAGCAACTTCACAACTCGCGCCTTTCCCCTGCCGGGAAAGCTGTTGTATATATTCTTAGGATTTTTAGCCCGAAATCTGCATCTAAGGGGCTTTGGGCTGCGCGGGGCTGGAGTTCCGCACATCTCCCTTGGGAGTCGGCCACTCCCACGCACCGTTAGGTGTTATTATTCATCAGTAGTAATAATAGTAACAGCCGACTCGGGCTGGCGCAGACATGCCCAGGAGCGGGGCTGCTGAGCAGGTGGCCGGTCCCGAGGCTGCTCTGTTTTCCTTTTGGTGGGGGGGGTGGTGGGGTTGGAGAGGAGATGAGGAGATGAGCTGAGCTGTGCGGTGTTTGAAAGAGGAGAGGTCCAGGTGGGGAAGGTTCTGGATTATCCGTTAACCTCGGTGAGGTGGGGATTATAAGGCCTTGAATGGGAACTTCATGGCCAGGTGTGCATAAAATGAGCTTGACTCAGTTGTTACTACTAATGAACTAATGAATACTAGTGCCAGGCACGTGGATTATCTCTAAATTGTTCCAGTAGTCTACGAAGGAGGTTCCACATCCCCATTCTATAGATGGGAAAGGCGAGATTCAGGTTTAAGTGACCTGGCCAAGGTGACGCCTGAATTTAGGGTCTGTCTCAGCTCCTGACCCACTGTCCTGTTTCTTGTGCTCCGCTGACCATTTGGGAACCAATAATCCATTGTCGCTGTTGCTTCCAAGGAGGATTCAGAACCGAAGTTTGTATACTGATTACTTCTTATTCTGGAGGTGGCACATAGAGATAGGGAGAGATTATTGGGTGAACAAGAACGTTTTATAGAATCAGATTTTCCATTTTTTGGCCAGAAGTCAGTTTAATGAAAAAAGCTAATTAGTAATTTTCAGAGGGGACGTAAAATGACTAGCAATGCAGAATTCTGTGAAATGGTGGCTTATTGTCTTCGTTTCCCTTTGCCAAGAGTTAATTTTGCTTTGGCTTTTGAAGCTGTTGTGTGGTGTAGTGGAAAGAAGACTGGCTTTGGAGACATTGGGAATTTTGCAGGTCTTAAGCGATGAAAGAAATATAGAAGATTATCTAGCCCAGCTTTTGTGCAGGCAAGTTTTTTTTAACTTGTAATTCTTATTAAGATAATTGTATATTTACATGCAGTTTAAGAATTAATACAGGGGCCAGGTGTGAGCTCACGCCTGTAATCCCAGCACTTTGGGAGGCTGAAGCAGGCAGATCTCTTGAGCACAGGACCAACCTGGGCAACAAAGGAAAACACAGTCTCTACAAAAAATGCAAAATTTAGGAAGGCGTGGTGACTCACACCTGTAGTCCCAGCTACTTGGGAGGCTGAGTTGGGGAGGACTGCTTGAGCCTGGAAGGTTGAGACTGCAGTGAGTTGAGATTGCAACACTGCACTCCAGCCTGGGTGGCAGAGCCAAACCCTGTGTAAATAATAAACAGAAAAGGACTAATGGAGGGAGATCCAGCATACGCTTTATCCAGTTTCTCCCAGTGGTAACATTTTGCAAAACAGTAATACATTATCACAACAGTATATATTGATACAGGCCACAGATCAGAGTGTCCTCATTTTATTTGTACTTGTGTGTGTGCACATGCATGAGAGCACGAATGTATTTCTGTACAGTTTTCTCACATGTAGGTTCATATATCCACCACCAATCAAGGGACTGAACAGTTCATCATAAGGATTCCCTCATTCTGTCTTTATAGCCCCACCCACCTCCCCCCATCATGCTCTCCCTTGTCCGCAATCCCTGGAGCACTATTCTCCATTTCTAAAATGTTGTCATTTAAAAAATGTTATACTGATGGAGTCGTACACAGTGTAACCTTTTGGAGTTGTTTTTTTCACCAAGTATAATTTCCTGGAGTTTTATCCAGTGTTATGTGTACTATATCAACAGTACATTCCTTTTTGCTGTTATTTCATGGTGTGGACATAACACAGTTTAACCCTTTGTTTAACCACAGATTAACTACATTGAACCATTTACCCATAGTTCAAAGGACATTTGGGTTGCTCCCAGTCTTTGGCTATTACAAATAAAGATGTTGTAAACATTTGTGTGCAGGTTTTTGTGTGAACATACATTTTCATTTCTCTAAATGCCCGAGAGTACAATTGCTGGGTCAAACAGTAATTGCATGTTTAGTTTTATAAGATACTGCAGGCAAAATTTTTGCCATCCTGATTTACGGATAAGGTTTGTTGCTTGCTGCCTGTGAGAACTGAGAGGTCAAAATAGGCTTGAGTTTCTTCATCTGTAAAATGGGGCTGCAGGTAGCACTAGCATCATTAGGGTTCAGGTGAGGAATGGATGAGTCCATCCATGAAAGGCGTTTAGGACAGTGCCTGGCGCATGAGACAGCCGAAGCATGGGATGGGGAAGATCACCATGTGATATGGTTTGGCTCTGTCCCCACCAAGATCTCAATTTGAATTGTATCTCCCAGAATTCCCACGTATTGTGGGAAGGACCCAGGGGGAGGTAATTAAATTATGGCGGACGGTCTTTCCTGTGCTATTCTCATGATAGTGCTAAGTCTCATGAGATCTGATGGTTTTATCAGGGGTTTCTGCTTTTACTTCTTCCTCATTTTTCTCTTGCTGCCGCCACGTAAGAAGTGTCTTTCACCTCCTGCCATGATTCTGAGGCCTCCCCAGCCATGTGGAACTGTAAGTCCAAGTAAACCTCTTTTTCTTCCCAGTCCCAGGTGTATGTCTTTATTAGCAGCTTGAAAATGGACTAATACAGTAAATTGGTAGCAGTAGAGTGGGGTGTTGCTGAAAAGACACCTGAAAATGGTGAAGTGACTTTGGAACTGGGTAACAGGCAGAGGTTGGAACAGTTTGGAGGACTCAGAAGACAAGAAAATGGGGAAAAGTTTGGAGCCTCCTAGAGACTTGTTGAATGGCTTTGCAAAAATACTGATAGTGATATGAACAATAAGGTCCAGGCTGAGGTCTCAGATGCAGATGAGGAACTTGTTGGGAACTGGAGCAAAGGTAACTTTTGTTATGTTTTAGCAAAGAGATTGGCAGCATTTTGCCCCACCCTGGAGATTTGTGGAACTTTACATTTCTAAGCAGCAAAGCATTCAAGAAGTGACTTGGGTGCTATTAAAGGCATTCAGTTTTAAAGGGGAAACAGCATCAAAGCTCTGAAAATTTGCAGCCTGACAATGCAGTAGAAAAGAAAAACCATTTTTTGAGGGGAACTTCAAGCTACCTGCAGAAATTTGCATAAGTAGCAAAGAGCCTAATGTTGATTCCCAAGACCGTGGGGAAAATGTCTCTAGGCCACGTCAGAGACCTTCATGGCAGTCTCTCCCATTACATGCCTGGAGGCCCAGGAGGGAAAAGTGGTTTAGTGGGCCGGGCCCAGGGTCCCCATGCTGTGTACCCTGTGTCCCAGCTGTTCCAGGTTTGACTGAAAGAGGCCAAGGTAGAGCTTGGGCTGTGGCTTTAGAGGGTGGAAGCCCCAAGCCTTGGCAGCTTCCAGATTGTGTTGAGCCTACGGGTGTACAGAAGTCAAGAATTGAGTTTGGGAACCTCTGTCTAGATTTCAGAAGATGTATGGAAACACCTGGATGCCCAGGCAAAAGTTTGCTGCAGGGATGGGGCCCTCATGTAGAACCTCTGCCAGGGCATTGCGGAAAGGAAATGTGGGGTGGGAGCCCCCACACAGAGTCTCTACTGGGGCGCTGCCTAGTGGAGCTGTGAGAAGAGGGCCACTCTCCTCCAGACCCCAGAATAGTAGATCCACCGACAGCTTGCACTGTGCACCTGGAGAAGCCATAGACACTCGATGCCAGTCGGTGAAAGCAGCTGGGAGGGAGTCTGTACCCTGCAAAGCCACAGGGGCAAAGCTGCCCAAGACCATGGGAACCCACCTCTTGCATCAGCGTGACCTGGATGTCACGCTGATACAGGATACATAAACATTCACACGTCCAAAAATCCCAAGTTAAAAAAGGAAAAAGGAAAACATTCCAGTTGAGGGACTTTGACAAAGTATATAACCAGTACTTCTCAAAACTGTAGGTCATCAAAAACAGGGAAGAGTCTGAGAAACTGTTTTAGCCTAAAGAATCCGAACAGACATTACAACTAAATGTAGTCCTTGTAGAGACCTGGAGTCAAAAGAGATCATTTTGGAGCTTTAAAATTTGACTGCCTGGCTGACTTTTGGACATGCATGGGGCCCGTAACCCCTTTGTTTTGGCCAATTTCTCCCATTTGGAATGGCTGTATTTACCCAATACCTGTACTCCCATTGTGTCTAGGAAGTAACCAGCTTGCTTTTGATTTTACAGGTTCATAGGCGGAAGGGACTTATCTTGTCTCAGATGAGACTTTGGACTGTGGACTTTTGGGTTAGTGCTGAAATGAGTTAAGACTTTGGGGTACTGTTGAGAAGGCATGATTGGTTTTGAAATGTGAGGACATGAGATTGGAGGGACAAGAGCGGAATGATATGGTTTGATTGTGTCCCCACCAAAATCTCAACTTGAATGGCGTCTCCCAGATTTCCCACGTGTTGTGGGAGGAACCCAGGGGGAGGTAATCGAATCATGGGCGCTGATCTTTCCCATGCTATTCTCATGATAGTAAATAAGTCTCATGAGATCTGATAGGTTTATCAGGGGTTTCCACTTTTGCTGCTGCTTCATTTTTCTGTTGCTGCCGCTATGTAAGAAGTGTCTTTCACCTCCCGCCATGGTTCTGAGGCCTCCCCAGCCATGTGGAACTGTAAGTCCAATTAAACCTCTTTTTCTTCCCAGTCTGGAGTATGTCTTTATCAGCAGGTGAAAACGGATGAATACACCATGGGACCAGATTTTGGACTTCGGTGTGTGACAGTCCAAGGAGGACTTTGGAGTATGACAGCCATGTTACTTTCCTCTCTGACCTTAGTTTCCTCCATTGCAATATGGAATTAATGTGGAGATTTTTAGTGTGTGCTTGGCACCCAGCAGAATCTCAGTAGATAGCAGCTATTATTAATTATGAAATAATTGTCAGCCTTAGCACATTTGGTAAGAGGTGGAGGTGGGTTATTTAGCTCTAGAGTCTGGGTCTCCTTGTGATTAGGGCAGTGCCATAACTAGCTTTGTGGCCTTGAGCAAGTCACCTAATCCCTCCTGGCTTTGGTTTCTGTCTCTGTAAAATGAGGCCACTGCACTGAATAACATCTAAGTCTTTTTAAGTGTTAGAAGTATTCAAGTGTTAGAGGTACAGGATTCGGCGGACCCTATCTCCTCTTCATGCCCGCAGCACAAATGCATGTGGTCCCTATTACCCCTGAGAATGTGGGGGCATTCATGAGGCTTTTTCTTCTTTGTCTTGTCCAGGACTGCACCATTCCTTCTCCCCTCTTTTTGAAGTCTGTGTGAATTTATGTACCTAGCTTGAGTTCATCCAACAAGCATTTATTAAGCACCCAGCAGTGAGTTTGACAGCTGCTGGTTCACAGTCGGATGAGTCTGATAGGGAGGGTTCAACAGTGGCTGAGTTATTGCCTGTGGAGAGCTGGGGACCAGTGTTGCATGGATGGGGATTCTGGTAAACAGATGAATGACAGTTTACCTCCTGGGAGGCAAGCAACGAGGCCCAGGGGCTCAGGGATGCAGGAAATGTGTCTCTGAGGCTGACCCTTGAGCTGTGTCTTTTAGGAAGGCGCTGTCAGAAGAAATACTGATGAATTCATTTAAAACATATAGATCTCCCCACCGCCAGTTGCAAGAGGACAAAATAATTTTATTTTCTCACTTTCTGTGGCCACTTGATCTCTTTCCTTCATCCAAATAATCTGTTTAGGTGTCTTCCCTTTGAAGGGCTCCCAGACTGAAGCCTGCACAGGGGAAGAGTGCTTTTTAAAGCTTTGTTTTACCCTTTCTCTTACATCCTTCTTGTCATTTTAATTAAAAAGTTTTTTTAAAAACTTTATTTTTTAGATCAGCTTTAGATTTACAGAAAAATTACATAGTGTCTATACACCCTACAGCCATTTCTCTTATTAATCTCTCACATTACTATATTTGTCCCAATTAATGAACCAATACTGATACGTTATTTGTAGTTTACTCAGATTTCCTTAGTATTTACCTACCCTCCTTTTTTTCTTCCAGGATGCCATCCAGGATAGCACACTACATTTAGTTGTCATGTCTGTTCGGCTTCTTTAGGCTATAACAGTTTCTCAGACTTTTCCCTGTTTTTGATGACCTTGACAGTTTTGAGGAGTACTGATTACATACTTTGTAGAAAGTCCCTCACTTGGAATGTTTTCCTTTTTTCCTTTTTTAACTTGGGATTTTTGGACATGTGAATGTTTGTGCATCCTGTATCAAACTCAACTCAAAAAAAAAAAGGCTTCTTTATATTTTTAGGAAAAGAAATACTGGTTTAAACTTCTAGCAAAAACGTCAGCTGCTGCGGTTTCCCCCTAGAGCAGTGGTTCTCAATGGGAGTTGGAGGGGGCAGTTTTGTCCCTCAAGGGATATTTGGCAATGCCTGGAGACCTTTTTGTCACAACTTGGGGGAAAAGGGGTGCTGCTGGCCTCTAGAGGCCAGGGTTGCTGCTAAACATCCTACAGTGCACAGGCAATATCCCATAACAGAATTATCTGGCCTCAAATGTTGGTAGTGCCAAGGTTGAGAATCCTCATTCTAAAATGATTCTAAGAAATCTTTGTGTGATTATAATTGAAAGGGCTGGATATACTTGTGTGTGTTCTCTTGTCTGTTGTGCTTTTATGTTGCATGTATCTTCTTTGAACTCAAGCTCTGGCCTTCCAGGTGTGCTCGTCAGATACTTGGCCTGTCCTGTTAGGTACAGAATGGAAGCCTTCGTACTCCTCCAAGATGGGTCGCTCCAACCTTATGTTTTGTTAGTCTCATGGATTTTTTTTTTTCATTAGAATTAATCTTGGAGCCTGGTTTATTTAGAACGTTTCACTACTTGGCTGGGGTTATAGACTGTATTGAGTTGTGGAAAGAAGTATGAGGATTAGTTAGAAGCTTTTATAGGGTGTTGAAAGATTTATTCAAAGTTCTGGGTGGAGACCATTTACTAACCAGTCAAAAATTATTTACTGTATTCAGTGAGGACTGTGTCTACATGATGATGTAACTTAGCATGTATAAAATAAGCATAAGACATAAGGATAATAATCATTCTATATAATATATAATATTAAATACAGTAAATAGTAATAGTAAGCATAAATTCCTCAAGGAACTGCATTGGGTTAAAGACACTCTTGAGATAATTTTAAAATTAAACCAATTATTTCTCAGACTGTTTCACAGTCTTTTGAGAGATGTAGTTAAAGAGATGTAGAAAATACACGTTAAAGAAGCTTCTTTGTAGCTGGGCTTTTCAGAGCTAGCTTTGGAGCCAGTGAGTCAGAGCCTTTAAAATGAATGAATCTCCAAAATGAGTGACGGGGGGAAGTAGGTTTAGTGCTTCCCAAGTAAATTTGCGGAGGCCCCTTTTTGAGGTGATAACTCTATTTTGAGGCTCTACGGAATATACTTGGGAAGTTATAATACTGTGCCTAATAAGAACATATGTTAATAATACTGAAAGATGCTTCCTTATACAACCAGAAATGTGTTTTTTCTATGCAGCAGGGATATAGAGTAATGGAGTCATAGGACCCTCCCAGAATCTGGAGAAAGCTGTTTTGTCTTTATAAAATGACACATTTGCACTATTACATATAATACTTGAGCACACACAAACGATTTTGTGTATAATTTCAGGGGATTCCAGGGGCATCTTAGTGTCTTCTGATGACCCAGTGCTCATTTAGTTCTTCTGTTACTCTTTAGGAAAGTTTGAAGGATTGAGCTGTTATGCTCAATGATCCTTATGGAGGCAGAGCTCAGCATGGAGACTGTTTTCTAGATTTAAATTTGCTGCTGGGGTCAAGAAGCCTGCCTGGAATAATGATATTTTTTGGCCTGACTTTTGCTGCTGAGTGTTATGGTTTTCTGTAACTGTCATGGAGGTGGCTGACTGATCTACCAGTTGAAATCTAGAGTTCGTTTTCCCATTTCATTAGGGTATAAATTCTGGGCAGGGTAAAGAGGAAGTGAAAAGAAAATACTTTTTTTTTTTTTTTTTTGCCATCTTTTGAAGGTAAGTCAAATTAAAAAATTCAGTAGTCTTCAAACTGGCACATCGGAATCACCTGGGAAGCTTGTTTAAAAATGGAAATTCTGAGGCTCTAACCCTGGAGATTCTGATTCCTAAAATATGGAGGTAAGGCTCAGGAATCTACATTTTTACAGACTGAGTTTAGAAACCAATCTTTTATTGAACTCTTAAAGACATGTGGAAACAGATATCCCCTAACCTTCAAGAGTTCTTTTGTACTTTGGCTTTCAGAAATCTGGCAGACTAGATAGTCTAAAAACCTTTTTGTATAGAATACCCACATGCTGAAAAAAATACAAAGGACCTTCTCTTGAAGTTATAACTGAACTCTGAGAAACTGGAGAAATCTCAAGGACTAACAATGAAGAGGAAGCCGAGGCCAGGTGTGATGGCTCAGGCCTGTCATCCCAGAGCTTTGGGAAGCTGAGGTGGGCATATCACTTGGGGACAGGAGTTTGAGACCAGCCTGGGCAACATGGTGAAACCCTGTCTCTACTAAAAATACAAAAATTGGCTGGGTGAGATGGCATGAGCCTATAATCCCAGCCACTTGGAATGCCGAGGCATGATAATTGGCTTGAACCCACGAGGTGAAGGTTGCAGTGAGCTGAGATCACACCACTGTACTACAGCCTGAGTAACAGATCGGGATTCTGTCTCCAAAAAAAAAAAAAAAAAAAAAGAAGAGGAAGCTGAAACCAGAATGATGACCAGCCTTGAAAGTGTGACCGTTCTGGGAACATTTGTTGCCTGCTGGGAGGGAAGACTAGGCATTGGGCACGCGCACATGCGCGCGCGCTCTCTCTCTCTCTGTCTGTCTGTCAGACGGAGACTCTCCTGTAAACCTGGTGGCCATGGAGTGCTTCCTTCCATGCAGGGAGACAACAGAGAAACTTGTCTGTTTTAGTCTTTGCTCTAAGTATGTTTTCTGTGTGTTCGAGGGCAGGTTTTGGAAGTCTCCCATGACCTTGTAATCATAGGGTTGTCCTCACATGGATTTGGGTTTGAATTTATTCTTCTTATATTGTCTGACAATCTGTATGAGTCCATTCTTACATTGCTATGAAGAAATACCCAAGACTGGGTAATTTATAAAGAAAAGTGGTTTAATTGACTCACAGTTCAGCATGGCTGGGGAGGCCTTGGGAAACTTAGAATTGTGGCAGAAGGCACTTCTTCACAGGGCATCAGGAGAGAGAATGAGTGCCAGCAGGGGAAATGCCAGATGCCTATAAAACCATCAGATCTCTTGAGGTTCGCTCATTATCACAAGAACAGCATGGGGGAAGCTGCCTCCATGATTCAGTTACCTCTTCCTGCCCTTGACACATGGGGGTTATGGGGATTACAATTCAAGGTGAGATTTGGGTGGACACAGAGCCAAACCATATCACAAATCCAACTGAGAAACTGAGTGATAGTGATCTGGAACTCCTGGTAGAAGTCAATGCAAACTCTCTGGATAAATAGACCTTAAGCCCAGGCCTCCCAGGATTCTCAAGATTAGATCTGAGCTTACAATCCAAAATTTAAAAATACACAAATAAGCCACCATAAGGGAGAACCAGCAGAATCAGCAGACAGC